GCAGCAAAGTGTCGGTGCGTAGAAACAGCGACGAGTCAGCAGTCGAAGGAAACGACCCAGTGTGTCGTGCCACTCGCGAGGCGCCTGGCGGAGACCGTAGACTGGCCGCCGGAGGCTCCACTGGGTACCTGCAGGAAACGACCCAGTGAAGCCAGGTGGGCGGCGCAGCCAGATCTCCTCGTGCAGGCTGCCTTGTAAGAAAGCTGTGCTGAAGTCAAGAGAGTGAAGCTCGTAGTCACGCTGAGCGGCGACGTGCAGCAGCACCCGAAGAGTGGTCATCTTCGGGGTAGGGGAGAAGGTTTGGAAGAAGTCAACTCCTTGTCGCTCGCTGAAGCCTCGTACAACGTAACGCGCCTTGAAGACAGGCGGAGAACCTGGCGGCCGCTTCACCCTGAAAATCCACATGCCATCGACTATGTTCGCCCTGGGAGGGGGAACTGCGTCAACGTAAGTGCCTGTGGACTTCCAGGATGCCATCTCTTCGTCCATGGCTGTCTGCCACTGAGAGGAGTAGGGACCCGTAATCGCCTCTACGTCAGAGCGCGGGGTCGGGATGTCTGGTGCATCCGGGTCTCCCTCGGGTGCAATCAGCATGGACACGAGATGAGGTACAGCAGCTGCAAAACACTCAAAGTCCTCCTGCCTGTCCTCAAGGACGTCCGTGCCAAGAGCACACTCACCCCCGACGGACGGAAGACAGTCAGACTCAGACTCAGCAACAAGACTAGCGGCGTAGTTGAGACGACAGGTGGCAGCAAAGTCAACAAGCTCAGCAACTAGGGCAGACGTAGCAGTGGACTCAAACGAAGGGTCAGTGACAACAGTGGCTAGAAGACGTGAAACAGTAGGATGTTAAAGTTTAGAAGAAAGAAGAGGATTGCACTAGCAAGAATGGGGATACAAATAGCAAAACCCTAGAAGAGTTGTACTCGCTATAGAGCACCCCACTACAGGCTAGAGCATAATATTCTGACACACCCCCATAGCCAAAGTGGGGTGTAATCAGCAGAGCAAGCAAAAGAAAACAAGCTCAGGGTGGATCACAATGTCACCACACATTCTGAGCACAAGTACAAGAGGTAGCAGTTTTATAGTTAACAAATATAAGCAAAGCTAGAGGCTATCACAGAGGGCAAGTGAGGAGGAGGAGAGACTGTGGGGGAGAGAAGATGGGAGGCGACTGCTGACGCTGCAGACACACAGACGAGCTGCTGGCTCAGTGGCTACCGGAACAGCGCTCCGGACTACTGGGGTAACTGGCCCCGCGGCTAAAAGTAGCGGCAGACGAGCAACGGACCCACGGGCGACTGGCGACTACCGGAGATTGTAGCCTCCGGACTGCTGCTGCTGCTGACGACACGACGACCGCCTCCATTCAACCTCCCCCAACTGTCCCACCCCCATTTCACACACCCCCTGTTCAAACCCTAGCTCTACTCACACTCCACCCCCCTAGCACCACTCCGTACACTCCCACACATCCACCCCCCTCAGCGATAGCTGCAGCAGTGGGAGACGAAGGAGGAGGAGGAGCAGGCGACGCCACACACCCGCCACCCCCCAACCGCCACCCCCCAACCGCCACCCCCCAAACCCTAAAAACAGGGTAGGGAGGTAGGGGGGGGGGGGGGGGGCAACGCGCGGCCCCCTGTAGACTCCCCAGGGTCGCCTCGACAGGCGACGGGAGTTGGGCCGGGGCAGGTCGGGGCCGGGGCAGGTCGGGGCCGGGGCAGGTCGGGGCCGGGGCAGGTCCGGGACGGGGCAGCAGGGGCCGCGCTCGGCTCCCCTGGGCAGCGCGACGGGGCAGCAGGGCCGCGCGACGGGGCAGCAGGGGCCGCGCGCGGCTCCCCTGGGCAGCGCGACGGGGCAGCAGGGCCGCGCGACGGGGCAGCAGGGGCCGCGCGCGGCTCCCCTGGGCGGCGCGACGGGTCCCCGTCGCCCGTCGCAGCGCCTCCCGGGGGCGACGCGGCGAGTGACGGGGCAGAAACCCGTCGCGCGCCTCGGGGCGCACGGCGGGCAGAAAACCGCCGCGCGCCTCGGGGCGCACGGCGGGAAGAAAAACTGCCGCACGCCACGGGGCGTGCGGCACAGAGAGTAGCAGTAGCAGTTGCAGCGGAAGCAACAAGGTGGTGAGCCCACCCACAGGATCGATCCAAGGGGATCGACCTGCTCTGATAGCATGTTCAAGTTTAGAAGAAAGAAGAGGATTGCACTAGCAAGAATGGGGATACAAATAGCAAAACCCTAGAAGAGTTGTACTCGCTATAGAGCACCCCACTACAGGCTAGAGCATAATATTCTGACATAGGACTGGCAGCACGAGCAAGGTCGGACGCAGGGTCAGGAACGTTAGGAAGAGAGGACGCATGAGGAGACGACAGAGGGACATGCTGTGGAACAGAGGAAGGAAGAAGTGCCATAGGGTGCGTGCCGGGGACAGGAGGAGGACGCTGACGAGGAACACGGCGACCAGTGCGAACAGTGCGAACAGGCGACGCAGGACGAGACGCAGGCTCACCCGCCCCACTGCCCAACTTCACGCCATCCTACTCGCCCAAACCAACCCACTATTAACAGGCCTATTTACCCACACATACAGTACCGACCCATTTTTCACGACCGAAAATTCACAGCAACTGGCAGAAGCAAAGGGAGTCTATTACGTAAAGACAGGCACCAACCGCATTTGGGTACCCGCGTACTTACTACTGAGAGAACTGCTATTGCAAGAGGCACGGGGTTACCTCGGGTCACTTCGGGGTAGAAAAAACGCGACAGCAACTGCAGCGGTATTACTACTGGCTTGAGCTGTTGACCGACGTACAGCACCACGTGGGATCGTGTCCTACGTGTCAGGTGATGAAGAGCTCGCGAAAAAGAAAGGCGGGTCAATTGCAGCCGATTCCACCTCCCGAGCGCGCCTGGCAGCAGGTTACCATGGATTTCGTCACAGGGTTACCTTCGAACCCTGGGGGTAACGACGCGGTTATGGTCGTCGTTGACAGACTGCCGAAAATGGCTCACTTCGCTGCGTGCAGGAAATCGATCTCAGCCGAAGAAACCGCTCGCCTGTTCATCGCGACCGTCGTTCGACTGCACGGGATACCAGCCGCGATAATCAGCGACCACGACACGAAGTTTACCAGCAACTTCTGGAAGAACCTTTGGGAGCAGTTCGGGGCCAGACTACAGTTCAGCTCGTCGTACCACCCCGAGACCGACGGTCAAACGGAGCAGACGAACCAGACCATGGAGCAGCTGATTTGTGCCACGTGCGACGACCCGACAACATGGGAGCAGCACCTGCCGCTGATCAAGTTCGCCTACAACAACGACACGTCAGCGACGACGCAACAGTCCCCGTTTTACCTGAACTACGGGCAAAATCCAACAGTGCCCATGACGCCGAGTCCGGACAACCCCACGCCACGCGCACAACAGTTCGCCGAGATCCTGCATGCTGCTCGAACGCGAGCAGCAGAGGCAATAAAAAAAGCAAATGTCATCGCTAAGAGAAACGCTGACCGCCACCGCCGCCCAATCACGTACCAGTCAGGGGATTACGTACTGCTCGACACACATAATTTAAAACTGCCCGTCGTACCGAAACTTCGACCGCGCTACTGTGGACCGTTCCAAATCAGCCACATGATCACCCCAGTTACCGCCCATTTACTGTTGCCGACAGACTGGTACATCAGCCCATCGTTCCATGTCAGCCTGCTTCGCCCGTACATCCGACCACCAGCCAACTGCCACGACATCACCCGCCGTCAATGACTCGCCCGGCATCAGAGCCGATCATCGAGCCCGAGAAGATTCTGAGCCATCGGATTCGTCATCCCACCAGCATCAAGAGGATCGAGTTCCTCGTTCGCTGGAAGGACCGCACGCCAACTGAAGATAGCTGGGTGCCCCTGGCCAACATCGAAAACCACCCTGCCCTACAAGTGTACCTGAGGAGCCGGGTTTTCCACGATATACACGCACTCGCGTAACGGAGGGGGCTTCTTGAGAGGGGGGGGGGGGGGGGGGGCAGTATAAGGAATTCTCAGCATTCCTTACCGCGTTCTTCAACATCGCGTACAGCAGCAAGCCGTTGTTCGCCCGTTACTGCTAACGGGGCTTCGCCAACTTCGCGCGCACTGTTTTACCAAACCATGCACCGCTGGCCTGGCCGAGTCGGCCTACGCTTCGGGACTAGCCCGAACCTAGATGCCAGCCTAGCACTAGCTAGCTCGCACGCACCGCGTAACCGTTGCATGTTTCGCACATAAGTATTCTCTCATGCCTTCGCTCATACTTTGTACTCGTTTGACACCTAGTGCAATCCTCGCTACTTCGATTCATTGCACCCGTAACATTGGCATTCCAAACGTCACAATTCCATCGATACAGTACACCACCATTGACCCGCAGCAGCAAAATGCGTGGGCACTGGGCACTTGCGAGAATATGGTCGTTTTCCCAAACCTACCCCGAGTCGAGCCAAGCCCATTCGCTATTTCGGGCATACAGTTTCGCACATTTCGGGTCGTTGATACCTGTTTCGCAGCGAAACCACGCCCATCCGATTCTATCCATCCAAACCATCTTGTGAAATTGCCGAAACCGTTTCCGTCGCTCACAGTCGCCACCAGTCGTCGCCATCATTCCGCGCTCCGCCTCCGCCCCCTCCGGTGCACCCTGGGGAGCATCGATGGAAGCAGAATCGGCTCTATGGTTTCTTTCCAGCAGGATGCAACCATTTGCGAGATTGGTGGATCCGCGAACGTTTCGTGCTGATCACCATGTTGCTTTTGCTGGTTTCGCTCGTCTCAACGTAGTAGACTCGTCTCTTCTCATGTCCGCGTCATCCAATCCAGAGGCTTTTCTGGAATCATCAAAGGTCCGCTTCAGCTTCGCATATGTCAGCTGCACAGACCCACCGCTACTGCAGTCGAGTATCCACATGATCCCCATCGCTTTTATTAATTCTCATTAATCTCCAGTAAGTAGCCATGCCGCCGTTTACGACTCCGAGGGCCGAGGCGCGTCGCCATCAGCAGCTACAACAGCGGCAGCGGAGCCGCGCGCCGTGGCTCGCCGGCTGGAATCGTCAGTGCCTCGCAGCGCTCAATCTAGACGTCGCCTGGGCGCGCTTCGTCAAGGCAGTCGGCCGACGGTTAGAGTCCCCAAACCGGCCGGCTAAGTCAGGTTACTATGCCGGCTGCTACGGCTGCCTAGCCGGCGTAGCGTTAGTCTGCGCGCTGCTCGTCGTCCTCCCACTCATTCTCCAGCGCCGCGCATTCCTCTCCCCCTCCGCCTTGCGCGCCGCGACCTCCGTCGACCGCGAGGCGCTGGCGGTGGCGGTGGAGCGGCGCGGGCCGTACATCGACTCCGCCGACATCAGCGCCGCCGCCGCGTGGCCCTCCGCGCTCGACGACCTGCCTCCCGCGCGCGATGCTTCCGCGCGCGAGTCAGACGCGCGCGCGCGCGGCAAGGGGGGAGCGGGTGGCGAGGGAGTGACAGGGGGGAAAGGGGAGGGTGAAACGCGGGAGGAGCGGCGGGGTTTGCAAGGGGGGGAGCAGCAGGGGGAGGGGGAGCGGAGAAGCGGATTGGACGCGGAGGGGGGCGCGGAGGCAGCGTGTGCGTCAGGAGGCGCGGGGTGCCCGTACCCCGACATTGTCGTGCGCGCCAAGGTAGGGGCTTTCGGTGTAGCACCCTTTCAGGGTACCACTTTTCCAGGGTAGAACCCGCCAGGGTATGGCCCTTCCCCAGTAGCGGATGTGGGCGTGTGAGGCAGGGGAGGGCGTCAGGCGGGTGGGGCTCACTGCGGGGGTGGGCGTGGTGGCGTGCAGTAGCGTGTGCGCGCATGCCATCCCACGGCACTGCACACTGCTTGCTGCACCGCAGGGCTCTTGCCTTCCCATGCAGTGCGCCATTGTGTCGCCCTCATCGCCCCTGCTCCTCCCCTGCACGCCCCGCTTACCACCCTCTTGCCTCCCTTCTCCACCCAGTCCCCCCTTCCCCCCCCCCCCTCCCCCTTCCTCCCCTTCCCCCTCCCCCTCCCCAGGGCCCCCTGCACGCGCGCATGGAGGCGGTGTGTGCGGGCGACGCCATCACGCAGCTGCTTCCCTTCCCTCTCCTGTCCACTTTTCCCATCGCCCCTCGCCTCCCACTCTCCTCTTCCCCAGGGCCCACTGCATGCGCGCATGGAGGCGGTGTGTGCGGGGTACGCCATAACGCAGCTGCTCGCCATGAAGCTCTCCCCGCCCGTCGTTGACGCCGTCGGTGTCCCCCACCCCCACGGCCCCCACGCTGCTGCGGCTGGCGCTGCTGGTATGGATGCTGCTGCTGCTGCTGGCAGCAGTGGGGGCAGCAGCAGCAGCGGGGGAGTGGAGGGGCCAGGGGTGGGAGAGGAGGGAGTGAGGCAGCTGCGGCTGGCGGTGCTGTGGCAGCCGGACAGCGGCGTGTGGGACGCTCACTTCCACCACCTCTTCCTGCCCCTGCCGCTCTCGCCCTCCCTGCCTGACGACCATGACGCACCACACAACGGGTCACATAACGACCCACGTGCTGCGGGTGCAGCGACGGTGGCAGTGCTGCATGAGAAGCCGCTGTGGCTGCACTCGCCACTCTACGCTGAAGGAGTGAGTTTCCATTGCTGCTCACTGGGGTCTGGTAGGTGGTTGGCAGGTGGCAGTAAGGTTGGCGTAGTTTTCAAAAACTCCGCCGTTCGTTTTAGCCCTGGGCGTACTACAGCACTGCGTGGCATCAGGAGGTACGGTTGCTGTTGGGTTCTTAAAGAGGTGGGTGGAGGGGCATGAGCACGTGCGCTGCTGCACCTGAGCCTCTTCTTGCTACTGCCTGGCTGTCCGCTGGGCTGCATGCAATTCAATCCCTGTGCTCTGGTCGAGGGTTATCCCACGCATCTCAGTCCTCCCATTGCTCTACCATTAGCCCTTTGCCCTTTCGACCCCCTTCTTCCCCTCACCCTCCCTTCCCTCCCACTCTCCACCCTGTCACCCCTCCTGTTCCACGTCAGAGGCTGGATCTGGATATCGTACCTGCTCCGCCACAGTCCCCGCCACGTCAGCAGCCACCTCAGCAACCACAGCCACAGCCACAGCAGCAACCACAGCCGCAGCCAGGTCAGCCCCAGCCACAGCACAACCCGCACGGTGCACAGCAAGCACCGTGGCTGGTGGAGCAGCCGCCCGTCCCCTTCCCCACCCACCCTCACACCACTCGCCGCCGCCTGCTAAGCACCGGCGCCAACAGGGTGGGCACCGGCACTGGCACTGGAAGGGCGCGCTCCTCCCAGCAGCTCAGCAGTGCCCGCCTGGCGTCTGCCCGCCTGCTCCTGTCGCCTGCTGGGTCCTCCCCTTCCGGCGATGAGCCTGGCACGCAGAGCAGTGGTGGGCGGAGCACTGAAGGGCAGAGCACGGGGCGAAGGCGACTGGCAGAAGCGGCAGGAGGCAGCACAGGAGGCACAGGGAGCAGCAGCGGCGGTAGCAGCGGTGGTGGCGGTGGCAACACGGTATCTGTTAGCCTTCACCTGCTCTCGTCCCTGCGAAACGCTGCTACGAGCATGGAGGTGGTGAGTGCATGGAGGTGGTGAGTGCATGGAGGTGGTGAGTGCATGGGATGTAGCAACGTTGGTCCACTGCTGCAGTGCAGTGCAGGCATGAAGCCATGAGAAGGGCCAATGGGTGCCACCCATCTGTGCGTCATGTCGCTCTACCCTCCCATCTCTGGTCGTCACTGCCTCACCGCCACCTCTGCACCACCCTCGCATTGCTGCTTGCTCTCCCTTCCTCACTGCTCTCTCCGCCTCGCTGCCTGCTCTCTCCCCACCAGGCGCCAGGGTCAGAGGAGGCGATGGAGCTGCAGGCGTCAATGGTGGAGTGCTACGGCATGCTGCACCCCTCGCCTGCCGTGCAAGAGTTGGTTGCACGGGAGAACCTCACCCACGTGCAGCGCAGCACTGCCGTGTACATGGAGGTATGCTGCCAGGCACTCGTGTGTGCAATTAGAGGTGTGTGATGTGATCTTCTGCTGTGCATGCATGCATGGATCAGCCAGTTAGGGAAGCAGGTGGTGCAGCAAGGAGAACAAGAGTGTCACTCACGCGGGAGAGGCACTGCAGGGTGAATGGAGTTAGCTACGTTTCTTGCATTGACGGCCATTCCCTTTCCTTCATTCTCTTTACCCTCCCATTTGCCTGCCCCTCCCTCACCCATCCAGCCGGTGCTATCAGGGTGCACGGGGTGCGATGTGAAGCAGGTGGTGAACTGCACGGCGCGGCGCCTCATGTGGCTCTTCCTCGCGCACCCCGCCACCGCCACCACGCTCGCCGCCTTCTGGCCCTCGCACGCCCTCGCCGTCGCCCACACCTTCCACCCCGCCCGCCAGCCACACCTCCTCCGCACCACTCTGCACCGCTCCGAACAGTGCCGGCCGAACCCGCAGCGCGGGGAGCTGGCGGCGCCGGCCATGGTGCCGCACCCGTGGACGCCGAAGCAGATCGCAGAGAAGCGGCACCGCGACGACATGGCCAGGAATGTGAGTCGCGCCGATGCTGCTGCTGCTGACGTGGCGAAGAGCGTGGCGAGTCGGAAGGAGCGGAAACAGTGGCTTGATAAGGTGGTGAAGGAGCAGCTGGAGGAGGAGAAGCGGAGTGCGCGAGGCACGGGCGAGGGGGGAGGGGACGAGGGGAGCGGGGCAGGAGCAGGAGAGGAAGGAGCGGGAGGAGGGGAGGGAGGGAGTGCGAGCTTCATTGCAGGTGTAGACGGGCCCGAGGGAGCGGGAGAGGCCGGGGGGATGGACGCGAAGGGCGATGCACGGAGGGAGCGAGTGCTGGAGTTTTTGCAGAAGATGTACGGGCCGGGCATGGGGGCGCGGCAGCTGGGCAAGACGGAGGGCGAGCAGAGGCGGCAGATCAGGGCGATGCTGAAGGAGCTCATGGGGCGCGACTGGAAGGCCGTGCTGGCGGGGGAGGAGGAGGGGGAGAAGGAGGGCGAGGGGGACGGGGACGGGGAGGGGGAAGGGGAGGGGGAGGGCAAGCAGAATGCTTTCAGTTTAGTGAGATTGCGGCGGTTGCTGCAGACTGAGTTGAGGGAGGGTGGTGAAGAGATGGGAGAGGTGAATGAGCCGCATGCAGGCGAGCGGCAGCAGGAGGAAGGGAGAAGGAAGGTGAAACAGCATGAGCAGCAGCAAGGCGAGACAAGAGAGCAGCTGAGGAAACAGATGGAGCTGGCAGAGAGAGAAATGGCTGAGAGGGAGTCGAGGGAGAGGGAGTTGGTGCAGAGGGAGTGGGAGGGGCTGGACGCGAAGCAGAGGTCGATCCGGTGCTCCCAGCTGGAGGCGGCGGAGCTGTTCGCGCTCTCCCACGCGCCACGCCTCATCCACCTGCACCACTCGCCGCAGGCCGACTTCCTGCACGCGCAGGCCATAGCCCGCCGCACCCAGGAGGCTTCGCAGGCTGCGGGTGGTGCGGTGGGGAGGGGGGAGCGCGGCGGCGTGGGGTGGGTGGGGGCGATGGCGGAGGGCGTGGAGCGCGGCGAGGAGGTGGGGTTTGTGAGAGAGGAGACGATTTGCCAGGCACCGTCGACGAAGCCGATCACGAAGCACCGCATAGGGCACCAGCTGATCGTGGATGGTGAGGGCTGAGGACGTGGGAGGGATGAGTGGGTGGGTGGGAAGGATGAGTGCATGGCAGTGAACTTTGCCTGTGCTGTGTGTTTGCTACCAGACTGTCTCTGAAGTAGGCATGACTAATCTGACGTACATCTATCTCCTCGTCCTCCTCACCTCAGGCGCGTTGATACTTTCTCCCTCACCCGGCCTTCACAAGTTTCAGCATCAGCTTTCCCTTGTGCCTCTCCTCACACCCCTCCCTCTGCGCCCTCGTCCCATGCCCCCACACCAGAGGGCATAGGCCTGTTGTACTGCTGGGTGCCCAAGGTGGCGTGCACGAGCTGGAAGGTGTGGCTGAGGCAGCAGCACCACGACACGCACAGCAACGATCTCCTCTCCACGCACTGCCCCTTCGCCTCCAACATCACCGAGCTGTGGTACGCGCTCACGGAGCCGGCAGCCATCCGCGCCGTGACGCGCCCCGACCTGCTGCGCTTTGTGTTCGTGCGGCAGCCCTTTGAGCGCATCGTGTCCGCCTACCTCAACAAGCACGTCGCGGGGGGCGGGCCCGATGGATGGGGCCGCAAGTTCTGGAACCTGGTGAGTTGGGGGCGGCGGGTGGTTGGGTGGTGGTGGTTGGGTGGTTGGGTGAAGGGGGGGAGGCAAGGCAGTGGGGAGTGTGTGAGGGGTGCGGAGTCAAGGGTGGCGGGCAGGCAGAGGCTGGGCAATAGGAGATTCTACTGTCCGTGTAATGACGCTCTTGTTGGTCACCATGGGCACGATTCAGGGTTCAGGTTCAGAGAATGATGGTCCGGGTGCGTGCCTTACAAGCCCTGCCTCTAATGCATCCACACCCCTACTTGGCCCTCCCCTTCCGTTCTCTCTCCCCTTGCATCCCCATCCACTGCGTCTCCCCTTTTGCAGAACTTCTTCGGTCATCTGGCGTACTTCAGGCAGATGAACAACCGCACGGGCGGCAACTTCACGTTCCCCGAGTTCGTGCGCCTGGTGGAGTATGGCATGCGCTTTGACAGGCGCAAGAACATGGACAACCATCTTGCTCCTCAGGTGGGTGGTATGCAAGCACATGTACAACCACTTGACGCCCCAGGTGCAGTGCACGCACATCACATCACAGCACATGCGCCTGGTGGAGTATGGCATGCGCTTTGACAGGCGCAAGAACATGGACAACCATCTTGCTCCCCAGGTGAGATGCACGCACAGCACACCCACCTGCTTGAAATGCCTTCCGTTGCTTCATTGCCTCGTGGAATTCCTTCCTCTATTGGCTCTGCATGTGCTCCTCACTCTCCCCCTCCTCCCCCTCCTCATGTGCGACCTGGGTAACATGCAGAAAAGGTGCATTCAACTTTCCTCCTGGACGTGTGCTGTTCTCTGCTGCCCCCCCCCTCCCATTCCTTTTTCCCTTCGCCTTCCTCATCCCCTCCCCCATCCTCCTTCGCCTCCCCTTCCTCATCCCCTGCCACCCTCCCGCCAGTCGCTGCTGTGTGGGTTGGACCGAATAAGGTACGACCTGGTGGGGCGCTTTGAGCGCATGGAGGAGGACGTCAACGCCGTCATGACGCGCCTCGGCCGCCAGCCAGGCGACGCGTTTGACTTTGGCAAGAAGATCCACCCCACCAAGTCAAGAGACCAGCTGCTGCAGCTCTACAGTGACGCTGTGAGTGCCCCCGTAGTCCCCCGAGTGCCCTCTCATGCCCACTGCTTTGCTGCTTCCAGGTTGCTTCCAGGTTGCTGTTAGGTTGCTTCCCAGTTGCTTCCACCGAAGGTGCCACGGTATCGCACTGCTGTGTGTCATGGTGCTCTCTGCTGTCCTTTGCCCGCACGCCATCACTGCCATCACCCACCTGGGATCCCCCATGCCGCCTCCACCTGTCACCATGTGGGCATCGCCCATGCAGGCGACGTATTTCAAGGTGAAGAGCACGTACGAGGCGGACATGGAGGAGCCCTTCAACGCCATCCACTTCCACCCGCCGCCAGAGCTGCAAGACAAGTTTGAACCAAAGCCACGGCAACCACAAGGACCCATGAGATGAAGAATCCGAGAATTTGCTTGAGCGATAGCCACCTCTTTCAAAAAATAAAATTACAAAACACAGTACCGTTTTTTGCCATATGAAGCAGCAATGTCTTTTTGAGGAACATCGTTGTGGGTTACATACACAGTAACAAAAGGCTTCTGTGCGGGTACAAGGGTGATTTTGAAAACTGGCCTGTTGCCTGGAATGCAAGTTTGACAGACTAATCATACTAATACTGTGATAAATCCAGCCCTGCCACTCAACAGCAGCACCTACCGTAATACTTCCTTACAGCCCTTCAGCATCTCACGTCACGTCAAAGACATGTCTGCTCCATTCCATTCAGGAAGCAAAGGTCAAAATTGAATCAATCAAACCAACGCGCACTCTGCTCGATATTGTACAGGGCCGCCGTGAGGAGTGGCGTCAGCTGCTTTCACCTGCGCCCCGTGTCACCATCTCAACTCTGCTCTTCACAGCCCTTGCTGCATGCTCCCAGGCGCCCAGCACACCGCTCACCTCCCCTCCTCCCTCTGCATGTGCGGCTCTGCCATGGGCAGTCGAAGCACCCACCACAACCCCATTGCTGCTGCCACCCTCTGCCCCACCTGCTGCTGTCGGCCTGCTGCTGCTGGTGCTGCCGCTGCCACCGGCACTGCCGACACTCTTCTCCCCACCATCTCTGCCATCCCCTCCCCCTTTCACCACCGCAACACCAACCTCCTTTCTCCTCCCTGCTCTAGGCTTCACCAGTCCGCCCTCCCACCCCTCTCCACCGCTCCCCATCCCCCCCACCTCCCCCGCGCCACTCCTGGGCGACTCCAAGTACGACACACCGCTCCTCCACGCCACAGCAGCGCCTCCCCCCTCCCGAGGCAGCCCCTTCGCACTCACCACGTTCGACAACTCCCCGCCTTCCCCCCCCTCCCCGTCACCCCCCTCGCCCGCCCCCCTGCCCGCCCCTGCCAGCGCGGCAGCCACGGCCTGCTGGGCCAGCTTCGCCCCCGGGCTCCTCTCACCCTCCACGCCCCCCACGCCCGCCCTCGCCCCCCCCACCGCCTCTGCGCTACCCCTGCGGCCCGCAGCAGTGGCAGCAGCCTGGCGGCGGTGCAGGGCGGAGCGCAGCAGGGCGCGCTGGGCGCGGCGGTCGAGCAGGGGCAGCGGGATGGCGGAGAGGGAGCGCGCGAGCAGCGCCTGGGAGAAGGCCGCACTGCACTGCTGCTGTGCGTGCTCCTGACAGGCGGTCTGTGGGCATGCATGGGGGCACACGCGGTTGAAAAGTACAGGGCAATCAGTGCAAGGAAGGGGGGGAAATGGAAGTGCAGAGGAGAAAAGAGGGGTGCATGGAAGGAGAATGCATGACAAAGGAGAGAGGCGAGGCATGGTGAGCGGAGAGTGGAGAAGCAGAGCAGAGGGGCTGCTCTGAAAACGAGGGGATGGTGTGGGAAAACAAGGCATGCGGGGGGAGCAGCACAATGCATCCATTTCACGGATGTCAATTGAAACAGAGAAGAAAGACCAACCAAAGCAGCGCAGAGTGCATGGTGTGGTGAGCAGAGGGCATGGGGTGGAGAGGCACCTGTGCGGTGGCGAGGCACGCCATCATCTCCCTCTCCTCACACGCCTCGCGCTCCTTCTCCTCCTCCTCGCCGCCCCTGCCCGCCCCCCCCCGCACCCCCAGCAGCTCCATGACCCCCAGGAAGCCCCCCCCCGCGCCCCTCAGCCCCCACGGCAGCGCTGCCTGGCACCGCTCACTGGCGCGCACTGAACACCCCATGCGCGCCCCCACCTGGGCAGGAGAGAGAGGGGGAGGGGAGGGGGAGGGGAGGGGGAGGGGGGGAAGCGGAGGGAAGGAGAGTGGGAAGTGGGGGTGAGAGAAAGGCGAGTGAGTGCCTTCGTAACGAATTCTGTCCCACAACCAAGAACAGATTCCCAATGGGCGGCCTCTACGCTCACCTCGCACTGCTCCGCTATCTTGCGCTCGCACGCCCCCCACGCGCTGCGCCAGCTGGGCTCGTCTTGGAACGCCAGCACCCACGCGCCGCGCTCGGGGCTGTCCGCGGGCCCCGCGCGCACGGGCACGCGCAGCGGCGGCAGCGGCGCGGGCGAGAAGGCGACGGTGGTGACGGCGGGCGCCAACTCGAGGTCCCCCGCGTCCAGCCCCCCGTACGTCCCGCCGTCCATGCCGCCTGGCGGCGCGCGCCGCGGGCAGGGGGATGGGGAGGGGGATGGGGAGGGGGATGGGGAGGGGGAATTGAGGGGGGAAAGGAGGGGAAGGGGAGGGGGGGAAGCGGGGGGTGAGGGGAATGGAGGGGAGGGGAGGGGAGGGGAGGGGAGGGGAGGGGAGGGGGGAGTGTTACTGGCAGAGTCGAGTGAGGGCGGCGAGTGCAATGCGTGCAGGCGGGCAGGCGTCGGAGTGGAAGGCATGCGGCGAGGAGCGCGGGTGCGAGGGGAGGCGCGCGATTAAAGAGGGGGTGCGCCGGCAAGCACCGTGCGAGGCGCGGCTGCGATGGGCGACGCACCCGAAGCCGCGAGGGGGCCGCTGATGGTGCCTCCCGCGCCGCCCTCCATGCTGCTGCGCCTCCCGCCGCTCGCCCGCTGCCGCGGCGGAGTGGTACCGCGGAGGGGAACGGTGGTGGGCGCGGCGTTGCGCAGGTGGATGCGATGGGCGACGGGGGGCGTTGAGCGCGGGACACGCGGAGATGAGGGTTGGTCCCACAGAAGCCGTCAACCTTGCCGTGGCTCGTCTGCCTCGCGTCAACGCGGGTCACCGTCGTCGCCCACTGTCCGTGTCCGAATGATCGTACGTGACTTAGACGTAATCAATCTGTTCAATGAACAACAGCGTAGCCCGTGTTTCACTTTCCCTCATGTTTGTGAACGTACCGAATGAGCCCATCACCAAGAAAAAATCAATGCTTGTTACCAAATCGGTTTAGGATGGTTAGAGATGGTTCAATATGGTTGTTTTAGTGAAGATCGGCCTGCTAGATACGCGCAGGTTATAAGGAGTAGAAAGTTTTTATATGAAATCCTTCCCGAAGTGTACTAAACCTCTAAAACCTTTTTAGCAAATAATATATTAAAAACTCTGTCACCCAGAGAAACCCCCATCGTACACCAAAGCCTCCAGCCGGAGTCCATCCCCCTTTGTTCAAGAGCAAGCCCAGGCGCCTTCCCCCCCTCGCACATCCGCCGATGGCGTCGCTCGCGCGCAAGCTCGCCGTCCTCCCCGCAGCTCGCCTCACCGCCCGTCCCCGCTGCTCCTCGTCGCATCTCGCCGTGCCGCGTTCCCACCATCTCCTTGCGCCTCTCGCTCCGCTCTCCGCCTCCCCGCGTGGCCCCGCGGCCACGCCGCGCATTGCATCTCGCCCGTCCGTCGCTGCTCCCTCCGCCGTCCCTTGGTTCTCCGCCGCGGCGGGGCGACGGAGCGTGGCGTCGAGCGCGTCGGCGGGCGGCGGGGGGCGGGGCGCGCGGGAGGCGGAGGAGGAGTGGGACCGCGAGGTGCTGGTGCAGCACCTGGTGGTGGGCGCGGACCAGCTGCCGCTGCTGTTGGAGCTGCAACGCCGCATCATGGCGGGTGAGGGGCGTGATGGCGGGTGAGAGGAACACGTGTGTTTGATTTTGTTGCGCCATGCGCCATGCATGACTGTCGCGTGGTGACTGTCGCGTGAAGGACGTGCCTGCTCAGGCGGTCATTCCAGGCGTGCACTCGCATTCACGCATCCCAACCACCCTCACTTGCACCCCACCCCTCCCCTCCGCGGTGTGCGCAGACGACGAGGATCTGAGCGACCTGGCGGCGGAGCACTCGCTGTGCGCGTCGAGGGCCAAGGGCGGCATGGTCGGGTGGATCTCCAAAGGCTCCACTGTCAGTCGCCCCTCCCCCCTCCCCCCTGCCCCCATCGGCCATTCCCCGCCGTCACATGCTCGCACCACCATGCTCGCCTCATCACCATGCTCGCCCCATCACCATGCTCGCCCCATCACCATGCTCGCCCCATCACCATGCTCGCCCCATCACCATGCTCGCCCCATCACCATGCTCGCCCCATCACCATGCTCGCCTCATCACCATGGTCACCTCATCACGCTCCCCTGCCTTGCAGCATGCATGTGCTGGTGGCACTCATGTATTGCACCCATGCCTTCACCACGTAACGACCGTACCCATTCACCACTCCCGGTCTCCATGGTATGGCATGGCGTGGTGGCTTGGCATGGAATGTCATGCCATGTCATGACATGGCATTGCGTGGCGTGGCATGACATTGCATGGCATTGGTGGCATTGCATTGCATGGCATTGCATGGCGTGGCGTGACATGGCGTGGCACAACATGGCATGTCATGGCATGGAATGGCATGGGATTGGATGAGGTGGCATGACATGACGCTTCTGCGTGGGACCATGTATTCCTGGCATGGCATGGCATGGCATGGCATGGCATGGCATGGCATGGCATGGCATCAGGAGCCGGAGTTTGAGGAGGCGGCATTCAAGGCGAGGCCAGGGGACGTGGTGCGGTGCAAGACTAAGCACGGATGGCACCTGCTGCAGGTGCTGGGGGACAGGTGAGCCACCCCTTGCATGTTGCATGCGTCTTCTGCTGCCCTTCTCTCACTTTACTCGTCGCATGTCACATGCTCCCTCACTCTTCTCCGTCCATGCCCCCGTTCTCATCTGCGCCCAAGCATCCCGACCTATACCTTCCTCCACTACCCCACCCCCTCCTCCCCTCCCCCCCGCCCTGCCTGCATGACCACATCAGGCATGCGGCGGTGTTGGACCAGGTGACGGTGGAGGAGTTTGCACGCCGCCTCACGGAGGAGTATGTGCTGCCGCCGCCACAGGGGGGTGCAGCAACCAGGGGGGCCGGTGAGAGTGGGGAGGGGCGGTGGCTGGAGGCAGAGGTGGCGGAGGCGCAGGCGGAGAGTGAGGGGAGGCGGGCAGTGCAGCTGGTGGACGTGCGCGAGGCAAGGGAAGTGTGAGTGCATGCTGCCCCTCTGCCCATGCCATGCCCTGCCATGCCGTGCCACACCCTGCCATGCCATGCCATGCCATGCCATGCCCTGCGATGCCATGCCATGCTGTGAATTCGGTCCATTGTTTGGTTTGCACATCTGACCCTGATGCTTCTCTTTCTGCTACCTTTGTTGCCCCCCTTGAATCGTGTTGCTTTACCCACTCACATGTTACCCATTCTCCTTCCGCCGACGCACCACGACGACCTCTCCCCTGCCCTCTCCCCTCTCCGCAATGCTGCCACCTGTGCTGCCCTGTTGCGCGGCCTGGGCTGTGCTGTGCCGAGTTGTGCTGTGCTGTGCTGTGATGTGCTGTGCTGTGCTGTGCTGTGCTGTGCTGTGCTGTGCTGTGCTGTGCTGTGCTGTGCTGTGCTGTGCTGTGCTGTGCTGTGCTGTGCGGTGCTGTGCTGTGCTGCGCTGTGCTGTGCGGTGCTGTGCTGTGCTGTGACGCACAGTGAGATGGCAGCAATTCCCGGGTTCACAGTGCTGCCGCTGAGCCAGTTCGGGCAGTGGGGGCCATCCGTCGCTGACACACTCGACCCACACACCGACACCTACCTCCTGGTATCGCATACAACCACACAGGACCGTGCTGCCTTCTACCCACCCAGTCTCACCTTTGCCATCTCCCCTCACATGACGTACATCTCTCCTCACGTATCATGCATCTCTCCTCATGTACCATGCATCTTTCCTCATCCTTGCAGTGCCATCCTATGTCCTATCGCCCCTCTTATCTCAACGCCTGCTCATCTTATGCCCTTTTCATCTCATGTCCTGTACCCCCTCTTCATCTCATGGACGCCCATCACATGCCATTCAAACCCAACCACGTGCCCCCCCTTGGCTGCAGTGCCATCACGGCATTCGCTCGCAGCAGATGGCCCACTGGCTGCAATCCCAGGTCGCCCCGCCGCCCACCCTCGCTCCCTTCCACCCTTGCTCCATTCTTTGCTCTTCCCTCCTTTTTCTCCCTTCCTCGTATCCCTTCCTTCGATCCACATCTCCCTTCATACCTCCCTCTCGCTCCCTCACCACTACACCCTCTCCCTTCCCCCTCTCTTCCTGTTCTGTTCCACCTGCTTCTTCTCCTCCGCCTCCTGGTGCTCATGTCACAACATTTCTATTCGATGGACCATTGCTGTTTTCCTCACAGCCATTTGATTTCTATCTTCTCCACCCCTTCTCTACCCGTCTCTTCTCTCTCTCCTTTGCATCTCTCACTATATCATCTTCTCTCATCCCTACACTTGGTGCACATTCCACAGCACCGCCACTCATGGAGCTTTGCTGCATGCAGCTCCACCCACAGCAATGCGACTTACTATGCCACTTCATCACCCGCTCCTCAATGTGCTCCCTCCCACCGTGCCTCCAGGGCTTCACACGCCTGTTCAACATTGCCGGGGGCATCGATGCATACTCGCTCAGGGTCGACCCCTCCATCCCTCGTTACTAGCAGCTCTGCTTGCTTAAGAACTCCCCTATTTCTCCCAGTACTGCACGATGCAGAAAAAGGGGCGTTGTTTAGAGCGCAACAGGATGTCAGGATATGGCATGCAGCCGTAAAAAACATATCTCTTGCTTTGTTGCCTTTCTTGACTGGTCTTGTCACGACCTTTCTGACTAGTTGATCCGCTCTAAGGGTACATTCCGGCCGTGACATGTCCAGAAAGTACGCGTCACAATCGAGTGTACCGCTCCGTACCGAACTACACCTAATTTCGAAAACTTTCGACAATGTTTGATACTTGGGTGTAACTCGGTGTAGTTCGATACAGAGCGATACACCCGATTGTGACGCGTACTTTTGTGACGCATCAAGGCCGGAGTGTACCCTAAGTTGTTGTTTCTCTTGTGTGATGCTCCTCACGTAGCCTATGGAGGCGTGTGTCAAATTAAATTAGTTTGTTAGGCCACAGTGACGGGCTCTTTAGAGAGTGTACAACCCTTTTAGGGTTGCATATTTGTATCTCATCCTTGTTCGTCATCGCATTTCCGCTTGCACATGAGAAGATTGACCGTGCAAGGAACATCCTGTCAAGAATAGAAGGATGGTTTGACACTATTGTACCCCATATGACACACATCACAAAGATCGTCTGACACACCCCCATAGCCTAAGTGAGGGGTGTCAAGCAAACCAACAACATACGGTCA